CTCTTTCTCCTTTTTGACAGTCTGTGGGTTACGGCAGAATAGATCAGTCAAGTCAATGGCAAAATCATCATCGTTGCGAATAGTCGGCGGATTGTCTTCTGCAGAGACCGGGGACTGGCCGTGGCAAGCTAGTTTGCAGTACAATAATATCCATCGCTGTGGTGCAACACTCATCAGCGATACGTGGCTTGTATCTGCAGCTCACTGCTTCAGAGAGTAAGTTCCCAATCTTAAGAGAGAATCTGCAGCAGAACGTGCCCCATGTGTATCAAGTTGTGTGGCTTTCCACATTTGCACCACACCCCTGACTCTTTCCTGGGGAACAATTTTCTGCCTTGGAGAGGAAAAGTCAGGGTTAAGCAGACTTGAACGTTTCAGTGAGAAATTAAAGACTGACTCTTTGAAGCAGAACTGGCAATTGTGTTAGTGGAAATCAATAGTAATTCGGCAGAGAAGTGCGAAAAAGGTAATGTAACTGAAACGGCAGAGTATGTTTCCTGTTGCACTAAATGTTTCTAAACGTGCTCCTTCGTGTAACAACTAGGTTGTTGCCACTGCAGGCTGCTACTGGAAGTTGTTATCCCACATTTCTACTGCTCCATTCAGCCATGCACTCCCAGCACTTTTTTCTTTCAAGCATGGCAATTGTGAAGCTGCAGGCCATGTTAAGATGGAACAGCTGATGGAACAGATTGTTAACATGCAAAAAGAGTAACAGAGATGAACAGTTTTCTAGCAGAAGAGCTTTTTGATTTGATTACACCCTGTGGCCACACAACGGCTAGATCAGGGACAAGGAGCGGGGCAGGAGTATGAGACCACAGCTGAGGAGGGAATGCAGGATTGCCCTCTTCTAGCAGCAGCCCACAATTACGTGGGACACAGTGTTATGGGAAGTGATGGATGCCTTAGGAATCTAGTACGGAGCTGGCTTGAAGGAGCTTTACAATAAAGGTGCTCACCAAGTTTAAAGTCCCAAACACTTATATTTACAGCTACTTACAGCACTCTTACCTTTTTCAGCATGAGTCACCCTCGGAAGTGGACTGCTACTTTTGGAGCTCTTTTGAAGCCACCAAGCTTGAAACGATCAGTCAAGATTATTATTATTCATGAAAAGTACCGCTACCCAGAACATGATTATGACATCGCACTTGTGCAGCTCTCTAAACGAGTTGAGTTTACAAGTAACATACACCGCGTTTGTCTGCCTGAGCCATCTCAGACTTTTCCGTACAATATTTATGCTGTCATCACAGGCTGGGGAGCACTTACCAATGACGGTGAGTCCTGAGTCTACCAGGCGACCTGTATGTTACATAAAGAGTGGCTCTGATCTACTGCTGAATTGATACCATTTCTGTAGCCATACGTTGTATGGCAACAAGCCTAATGCTTTGTCTATAAGCAATAGGTTTGTTTAATTGTAAGCAGCAGTTTCTTGTTCTAAAATTAGACTGGACAAAGACAGAGCTACAATCCTTATTGTAGCTACAATCCTACAAGCAGAAAACAGGAAGACGACTGTTCTCTTTTTCCAGTCTTTCCATTTCATAGTGTAAATTTTTAAGACAGGTAGTCCAGCCATGCATGTGTTTATATAGCACCTGAAAAAAGTATTTTCCCAGCCCTAGCCAGAAGTTACAGATAACTCTGCACATTTACCTGAAAGCCCACAGAGTGAGCTGCAGATGGTGACTTACCCAAGCTCACATTCTTATCAGGCCATGCTAAGAGTAGATTCAGCAATGGAAGCAAGGAGTCTTCATTTCGTATCATCTGCCCAAATTGCTAGGTAATTTGTGTTCCATGGTATTATATGGAACAAGTATAAAATATATGGTTTTACACTTAAGGCACTATGTACCATGCAATTGTTACTTCTGTCTTAATGGCACAGTTCCTAAGTGAGACTATGAGTATGTACATTTTCCTTAAGGGCCTAACCTAGACAGATTGACAAGCAAAACCTCCACATTAAACCAAGTCAAGCTGGTCCTCCATAAGAGAACATTAAATGCTCTTCCTGTGTCTTAACTACTGCAAAGTAATTCTGATAAATACCCAAACTATATTTCCCCTCAGGTCCAACTCCAAACGCTCTTCAGGAAGCAACAGTGAAACTTATCAACTCAAACACTTGCAACAGAAAAGAAGTGTACGATGGGGACATAACACCCAGGATGTTGTGTGCTGGATACTTGGAAGGAGGAGTAGATGCTTGTCAGGTAACTGTAGCTGAAAATTAGAAAGGAAAACTGTTTTAATGCTGACTCCAGTATCTGGTTGACCAAATCTTAACTGACAGTGTATTAGTCCTTCAAATAGGCTCCATTCAAACAGGAATTAAGTTGTAAAGTGAAACAGCATTTAGTACACGTCATCTAGCACACAAAACCCATACCAAGAGAGCTAAATTAGTGTAATACTCAGAATTTAAACTTTCATAGCATGAAATGAAATTCTTATTCTGTAATTCAGAATAGCTGCTACAAGCCCATTTGCTTCTCATAATTTCTTGTGTGTGAAATCTAACAAACAATTTGCTTGCAAAGTGATATGACAAGACATTGACAGAGATACTAAATGCTGAAATACTACATACGAGCTAAAAATTAAATGTCTCAAGTAGCCAAGACCAGACATCTGTACAATTGGGAAAGAAGAAGTTTAAGAACGTAGCAGTTAAGTTGCCAGCAAAAATGCACTGTCACTCATTGAAATTAAATTCTGGACTGGATCATCTCATAACAGATCTGTTATGATATGATCTTTGGTAACAGACTTGGATCAGTGGAAGGAAAACTGTCTGAAACAAAGATAACTATAAGGAAGCTAGGTGTAAATGGAATGGTAAGGATACGTGTCTGGTGCAGGTTTGCAAATGTTGCAAGGAAATGCTTATGTTCAAACAAAAATATTTCCATAATGTTTAACTTTTAAAAAGGTAATTTCTATTTATGTTATTTACAAAGAATGCACTCCTAAGTGCTGGTTCAAAACAGACCCTTTCCAGAATCCCAGTCCTACAGATTTATGCCTGAAGTAAAACTCCCTGCAGAGTAAGTCTGGAGGCTCAATTCCTCTGTTTCTCTCTGGATTAGCATTGAAGAGACCTGAACAGAAGGGTGCAACTGCTGTTCATTTCAGTAAAGCATTTTGGTGGAAGATGGGGAATTTGGTCTGTTGTGTGAGGATTGCCTTTCAGCCTGGAGGGTTTCCAGTTTAATGATTATTACCATGTCATGCTATTAACAGTATCTGAATTCAGCCTTCAAAAGCGGCTAACATCTTAAGGAGATACTGTCTAATTAGAAGAAGTCTGATGAAAGTCTAATTAGAAGTTCCTGGTGAAATCCTTTTTGAAATGTTATTGCTGTGAGTGACTAAAAAAATTTGTTGAAAGGATAGTGGTTACTGAAGAAAAAAAAATATTCCTGTTGGCTTAGATTGCTGTATATATTTGTGTTTCCCTACTTTGTACAAGGAGGAAGACAAGGCAGGTGGGAAGCAGTGTTTCACAAAACAGAAGAGAAGCTTTTTTTTTTAATGTAAAACCACAGAGACAGGTCAGGAGGTTCCATGGCAAACAGGAAAAAGCCACAGACTTCTGACTCAAGTTTCAGAAACAGCCTGGATTCTGCACAAATGGCAGCTCTTGAAATACTGCTCGCTTGCTGCTCTTATTGGACACACCCTCCTGTCTCTGGAGAGAATTATATTTTCCCTTCTGATCAAGTAAATCTTTTTTTTTCCCCTCTTTCTCTAGGGGGACTCTGGGGGACCACTGGTTACTCCAGACTCTAGACTGATGTGGTACCTCGTGGGAATAGTGAGCTGGGGAGACGAATGTGCCAAACCAAATAAACCTGGAGTTTACACACGAGTGACTTATTTCCGCGACTGGATTACCTCAAAAACTGGCATCTAATTCCAAAATCAAAAATGGATTTAACTACATCGACTGTGTGTAACTCGTATGTGTCTGTAATTCTGAAAGGTTGTTTTTTAGTATATATATTCCTATGTAGTTTTGGTTGAAGCAACCTTTGCCTGCAGCAAGCGTCATCTTTGCTGTCAGAGATCCTACCCCTTGTGAATTTATACTAAACATATGAGATTGTTTCAAGGCTCAAAGACGAGGCAGGCATTCTCACTTATCAGAAATTATGAACTGACATCATTAAACTAACATTTAAAAGCTACCAATTTACCTGCTTTATAAATACAAACATTTTCCAGGAAAAAAAAAGAAATTTTTCTTTAGCCATGGCTGAGGTCTGAAGCTGAAACTTCTTCCTCCAGTGAAGCAAATGCTGTCACAACTGTGTTTCTAGCAAAGTGAACCCGTGATTATTGTTCTTGCTAGAGACTATCATCTGCACAGACTGCAGCAGAGACCCTGGATGCTCACCCTGTTCGGTGGCCTTGACAGCTAACAGTGGATCAGCCAGGACTGAGGGTAGGTCTTAGCTAAGGAAAAGGAGGATTTCTGTGCTTGCAGTAAGTTGGAAGGGAAAAGAGAAAAGATTGATGTTCTTTCGAAGCACATTTTTAACAGGACATTTTTTGTGGATTCTGTGAAGTTCAAGTTACTTGAAAGTGCTGTTGTGGAAGTGCTTTATCACAATACTGTGCTGCTACCTCTGTACCAGTTGCCGTCTGGATCTACTCTGTTCAACTCAATATGCTTAAGATACAGAAACACAAGCTCTACCCAAATTTATTTGTCGTAAGTGTGTCCCCACAAACAACCTTCCTGGAAGGAAACCCAGCATTTAAATTTGTGCTAAAGGAAAAATAAATATTCACCACAAACAGGGAACTACCTTTTTCGTTCAAGAAATAGTGTGATTTTTCCAAGGACATGCCAGACAGTGGAAACCATCTCACTGCAAAGAAAGCAATTAGTGATACTGTCTTGCTTCACTCATGGATTCATCTCTGTCATGAACGAATATGATCCTGTCTTACGAGGCTGAAGAGTAATTTCACATTAAAGAACAGTCCCGATAAGAACTTCAGAATAAATGCAATCCTTATACACCGATTAAGCCCTTTTCCTACCTCCGTGCATGACATCTCATGGATTGCTGGTGGAAGGGGGTCCAGTGACATGACTATTACTGTCCCCTAGAGCCCAGGCCCTCAATATGAGGATCCAAAATGTCACTCCAGTACTGTTTCCTGCAGTCTTTGAATGGCCACAGGACTGTTTAGGCTGTGAATGCAGGACTCTCAGGAGTCTGCATGAGATGTGAAAGAAGCTGCAAGCCCCACAGCTGAACTTACTACAGCTGAAAATTTCTCCGAAGCATCCTGCTTCCCCTTCTGCTCAGGACTAGGTCTTTCCTCAGCCTTCCTACTGTGCAAGCTCTCCAATAATCAGCATCCCTGGGAATGAGATGCTCGGCATTTCTTGAAAACTCACCCCCTGAATTACAAGTCTACATATGGATGGAAAAGCCTATGTTTAAGCCTTGGTGGTGGAGGAGGGGGTTGTCTTATTATTAGGCTCCTTCCAGTTTTTCTATGTATCTTTTGAATTTCAGTAAAAGACAAGATGCCTTATCTCAAAGAAATCTATTGGAGGTTTTAAATTAGTTTTGGTTTTGAAATAGTAGTATCTTTATTCTGATTTCCATGTCCATTACAAAATGAAAAGGATCTTGGGACAGTTAGGAGGATAGTTAGGTGCAGCAAATCTGTTTCCTTAATTTATTGATGAAGTTTGTAATTTATGCACTTTTGAGTTGCTGCTACTTTTCAACTAAGAATTTACTCTGGGCCAGGTTCAGTTACAAAATAGAAACTTCATGGAGTTTTGGATTAGGTCACCTGGAAACACTGTTTTCTTCTAGTGTTCAGGTTCCCTTTTTTTGAAAGCATCCTTTGAAAAAAAATTACATCTAGTTTTTTGTGCCTTTTATTGCTTTGAAGGTGAAAATCATGACAAGTGTCCTTCCTTATAATCAGCTGATGAATTGCAATTGAAAGTAAACAGTAGTTCACTTTCATAGATAGCTAAGGCTTTGTTTTGCACTTAAATCTATCTTTTTGACTAGCAAATGGAGGGGCAACAATAAGGAGGTGAGGCCCAGATTAGATACAACCCCTATAAACTGGTTCCTACCTCACACTGCAAGTGACATGTATATATAATACCTTTAAAAAGAGAAAGGCAGCCTTTATTTTCAGATTTTCTCGTGAAAGGCCAAACAGCCAAGAGGTGTGTGGGAGAAACTCCTACCTTACTCAGGGAGTCCTGAGCCAGCCAGATGCACTTTTCACAGATTTTTTTTTAGCGAACGGTCTGGCCTGGGTTTGTCTTATACTCCATGTCAGTGTTTTATTTATGAAGACTCTGTTTGTTTTCTGTCCTAGAATACAACAAAGATAATATTGTGTGATTAAAGAAAAGATTTTTAAAAACCTTTATTTTTGTTGATGTTAAGATTTAGCAAGGATTTAAGCAATATAAAGGTAATATGTTTCATAACATTAAATGTATTTAAAAACAATTGCTCCTTTTTTGTCCTTTTTTTGCTTAATAATAACCAAGCTAAAAATAGTCTATTTTGCATCATATACAAATCTTCCTTATTTTGATATAAGACTATTCTAAAACTGCAGCTCTTTCTGTTCATTCCGCATCCTAGGAATTATTTGTCTTTAACAGTGGTTGGAGCTTTACAGATGCTTCAGCAAAGACAAGGTGGGACACCTGCTTTTCTAAACTACTCAAAGGTGAATTTCAGTTAAGCTAGCGCTATGCAAATTTGAGAATGGATCTGAAGCTTCATCCAAGAATCCACCACCTTGCTTCTGGCCTTGGAAAAACTCATCCTTGTAACGTGCCATTCCTGGAAATTGGCTGTAGGGAGGTCTACACAGCTGACATACCAATTCTCCTGAGATTTTCCAGGCAGATTTAAAGCATCAAGAAATGCGTACCAAACTGCTGGTTATTGAAATCAGGTTGTTTGAGGCTTGCCTAATGCTAATTTTCAGCCTGGAGCACAAGTAGGAAAGAAATAAGAGGCTGATTGCACACGGCCTAATCATGTGAGGAGGTCTGGTTGAATGACATCAATCCGTCACCCAGATTCCTTATGTAAGTAAAGCTTGTAGAAACTCCAATTCCATATCTGCTGTTCCTGTTAACAAATTAGAAGAGTTGAGAGCCAAAAGTTATTATTTAACCCAAGGAATATTTATCTGGCAACTCGCAGCCTGCGTTAGGGATGCACGTGCATGGAAAAGCTGGGTCTTGCTTTTGGAAATGCATCCGTGCACATGTCAGCGTGGAACCAGCTTAGGTAATCGGCGCCCTTGTCTATCTGGATCAGGATTTTAACAACATTATTAACATGGTTTCTAGGAAGGCGTCACGTGCTAGAGCAACCTTAAGTGACAAGATCCTTTGGCCCACCCCATTGGGAAGCTGGAGTCCTTTTAAACATGCCAGCAAAGCACTCCTACACCGCACATTGTGCCAAAAAGAGGAGATAAAGCCTTGTCAGTCAGCACCCTCACTCCTGCAAGAGCTGATGGCAAGCCATAGCCTATGCCAGGATGTTTGGAAACCCATTGAAGGATGTTGATACGGATTTATGGTCATTTCTGCACTGGCCTGTGTGCTAAACTGAATTGTGTTGGCCTTAGTACTTTCAAATAACAAATTCTTAGGGTGAAAATGACACAGTTTTGTCGGCTAATTTGCTTATTAACTAAATAAATGAGGGAAACAAATGCATCTCCCCCAAATCCCCACTTTGGAGTTCCCATTAAGAATGTGAAATCGTGCCTGGAAATGAGGAAATTAAAAGACAAAAAAAAAAGTGCAAGTGGCTGGGATTTTCCCAGCAGATGGAAAGGAGATTTACAGCTATATCAGGTTCAGCTCCTTTTGAAAATACTGGCTCTAAAGATGTATTCAATACCTGCATGCAGAATTAATCTACAGTAGTGCACATAAAATGAAGTTACAGATATTTTGGGCCTGAGTCCAGAGGTGGTGGTGTTCTGACCACAGCCATGTACTGCTCATTGCCTCAGCAAGTCAGTAAACTGACAGCCTTGCGTTGTACCTTTTGCCAATCTCAAAAGCTATAGCTGACTTTAACATGGTACAAACATGGAGTTGGGCTATCCTTTAAAATTAATTTATTTAACCAAATTTACTAAGGTTTTATGGTTATATGTATTTTTAAGAGAGGGCTATGGGGAAGAAGAAAAGTCAAATGGCTCCAGATGTTTCAAATTTTTCAGTCTTGGAAAATAAGAGAAAAACCTGTATGTTTTGTGATTCGGTACCATCAACCTAGAGGGCTCCTGAGTACACCTACTAATGATGCGTTTGGGAACCAGTTTCTTTGGCTTCTGGGGTAAACAGAATCTGTCCATTTTTATTTGGCAATTTATCTTAGAATGCCCGTGTTCACAGTTTCACTGATGGTTAGTCTTTGCTTAATTACCACTAAACTGTTAGGAGAATTAACTGGATGTTGCCATTTCTCCATTTAGGCAAAGGCAAAAGGCTTGTCAGTATTCACTGCTACTATGCAAAAATCTGTTTCATGTGAGATGACTGCATATCAAAGTGACTGGTATCTTAAAAAACGCAATGACCATGACAGAAAGATGGTGGGTAGGAGATATTTTTTTTTTATTTTTCAGAACAGATGTGATTGGTAAGTTCTTAAAAATAAGAATTGTTAGTTTAACCTTAAAAAAAAAAAATTGTAACAGGTTCATTTTTAAGGAAAGAAACCACAAAATTAAAGGTAAAAATTACTGACAGAACTAAAAATTGGCAAAGTGGCAAAAATGAAGCTGACATTTTTTTGCTGTCTTTAAACTCTCATTCACTTGTTTTCCACCCTTTATAGCTGGGACTCCCGTTAATTCTGTTCATCAGGTACATGCACT